CTCTGTGTTGGCCTAGCGTGGAATCATGTCGGAAACATCCGGAAAATACTCTGAGGTCGGTGATCTGTTTTGCCTTGGATGGATCCATGTGGAAGTATTTGCACACCTGCTCAACGTTCTGGACGGTCTTCTCGAGATCGATATGGCGGTTGTGACATACCATCGGAATGATGTCTGTCCCGAAAACTTCTGGCTGAGCATTGGTGTAGCAGCAAATGCTGTAGACCTTCTTGATGAAGTCCATGTATTGTTTCTCTGTATGTGGACCTTCACCTTGAAGGGTTGGCTTCCAGTAATCATTGAATCTGGCCTTCAACCACAACACCTTGGCTCCATGTTGTCGTTCATGCTCAGGGATGAAGTGGAATTCAGGGTTCGTCTCGAGGATGGTTGAGCACTCCTTGTAGTATTCGTACACGAAGTTGAGGAATTTAGAATTCCCGAAAGGTCCTGGGTGTACGGATTCCCTCTGGAGGCTGATGTCCGTATCTGATCCATCTGGTACATGCCACCGGTCGTTGGATGTGACGCGTCGCTGGTCGCCTTGGAAGTGCAGGTCGGACACCAGGATGATTGTCGGATTCTGTCTCCGCATCCAGGATGTTCTTAGGCGCTGGCTTCATCTTCGACATAAGCCTTAGTGTTGTTGGTGGTGACTTTGGAACCAGTTTTGGATGTGGCATCGCCTTCAGCATTGGATTTCCTGCGAGAGGTTGCTCTTCTGTCGGTATCACGATCATAATCAACCTGCTCCATGTTGACGTTATCTGGTTGTTGAGAGGTGGATGGATTCTCATCGACGACCTGCTCCATGGGGCAGTCGGATGTCTCATCTTCCTCATCACGAGCAGGGGATTCCTTCAAAGGGGATGCCCGTCTCTTCGCCAGCGGCTTCGGCGAAGGAGCCGCAGTGCTGGATTGTCCGAAGATCACGTTGAGAAACGGCATGTCTTCGAGGTGGTCAAGCGTACACGATCGCAAAGGTCGGAATGGTTGTAAACCGAAAGTGCTGCGGATGCAGACACATATTTCTTGAGATTCAAAATGGGTCAAGTGCAAAAACACGCATCACGGATTTGAGGAATTGAAAATGTGCAAAATGAAAAACTCCTGCATCAGAATTCTTGGACATGTGGATCATGCCCAGGTTCCCCAACAAGCAAACATGGATTCTGCTACACCGACTCCTGCAAAGGCAACGATGTCGGGTCCGTGCTTCGTATTGTGTGCTAGCCACTCAACCAAAAATGCCTTGTTCTGCAACATAGTACGGAAGGGCGGATGTGCATCAACATTCAAGAGATTGCCCGTGAGGACGGCCTTGATGAGCTCGTCTGCTTTGGCTGAATGCTTGGTCAGCGAATCTGCCAGGCAGTCTTCACTCCGTACATGTGCAAGATCATGCATCTGTCCACTGTTGCTTTCCTTTCTCAACATTTGGATCAAATGCATTGTCTCTTTCTGTTCCGCTTGATGTGTTGTGGATGCTGTGGTGACAAGATTCTGCGCATCAGTGCGGATGTGTACATCTACGATTTCGCCTGTGATGTCTGACCAGAGACCGCGAAGAAATAATGCTGAACCGTAACAACGCATCAGTCCGTGCAATTCTGCAACAGTTGTGGACATGGTTGTGGCGGTGATCTTGTGCGTCTCATAGTCGACCAATGAGCCTCTCGAGTTCGATGAGCTTCTGCGAGAAATATAGCATGCGCGCGTTGGGATGACTTATCTTCATTGTTGCGATAGGATGCATCTGGATAATCAACTATGCGTGTCTTGCCACGAAGGGGCCAGAATCTCATACTAAGCGGGATGCTTTTGATGGTCTTCTCAATGGCGCGAACGTCCTCAATGGTCGGTGATGATGCCTTGGATGCACACCTGGAGAACTGATAACCAATGTGGAACTGCGTTCGCGATTGTAACCAATTGATCTGACCCAGGACACTTCTGTATGCAGTATGCATTTGTGGAGTAAGAGGAGTGTCGTCCTTCAGGTACTTGTCAAAAGTGATCTTCTGAAGTTCGTCAATGGCAACGTTCTGATGGACATTGATGTACCAGCCATGCTTGTCATCTTGCTTCCATTTGATGCGTTGTCCTACGAAGAGGCAATCATTTTTGTCTTCGGAACCAACTTGAAAATCTTTGCGAAGTCGTCCCATGATTTCCTTCTCGAACACATCATCACCCGTCATAAGAAGATCATCAACATGAAGAGACAGTGCTCCATGAACTTGTCGATTCTTGGCATTGTTACCGGAAACAGGACCCATAAGGTAATCAACTGCTCCTTCGCGATCGAAAGTCTTGGATGACTTCTTTTCAGTCACCAGTGCGGGCTTTGGAAGCTGCTTGCCGTAGTATACATATGTACAACGGTCTGCCCTGGTTGGCACCAGTCCGTAAGAACGGAGTGCCGAATCAAGGATGTTCCACCATCTGCGGGGTGCGTCATTTAGCCCGTAGGCAGGCTTCTTCATGCGCGCTCCAATGTGTGGTGGATATCCCATTTCAGGAGGGATCTGACAAATGATGTCACGATGGAGGAATGCTGTCTTCAAGTCCATGTGAAATATATTCCAGCCCTTATTTGCGGCTGCTTGGATTGCAAGGCGGAAGCCACTCCTGGATGCAGCAGGACTATCTGTCTGCTGACCATTCTTCTGCTTGTCTTGGAAGCCCCGAAAAACTCTCTGCGATGGCTGCGAACGTCTTGCATTTTCCCTTGTCATGTCCGCCTTTTCCTTTGCCATTCTCATAGGGTGGATAACCCTTGTTTCCATCATGGGGATACTGGAATTTTGATTTTCCTTTCTTTCCTTTCTTTCCTTTGCCTTTTCCCCAATATGCCTGGTCGTAGGGATCATAGTTCTCATTGGCCATATTGGCCTTCCCGTCAGAACCGCTTTTTCTGAAGGGTTTAAAAGCCACCTCGTTGGTGACTGCCCTTTTTGTTTCCTGATTTTCCTTTTCCCTTTCTCTTCTTGAATCTGAAATTCCGCCCTGACACTTTTCTTGCTATGAACGCATCGTTCTCCTTGAGGACCCAGAATGTCTTTTCATCGTTGTTCGACATGAATCCTTCAAGTCCTTCTTCATCCTCAACCCAAAAGCCTTCTTCTCCTTCGTATTCACCTTGTTCGATGATGAAGAATGTGTTGCTTCGGTTGCCTCCTTGAGGTCGGATGGATGGATCTTGAATGGATGTAGTGCGTCTTCAGCATCTCATAGGAGTAGTTCTCTAGTGAAATGTTTCTCAATGACATTGCACTTGTCAGTCTTTCTCTCTGCTGATCTGACAATTCACTCTGTATAATGAAAAACTGCGCAATGAGATTATCCCCGAAATAAATGCGTCCCGCTGTCTGCCCTGCATTCCCGTGATATACTGTCTGAGGACTGTTGGATCATCCTCATTGAGCAGGACTGGAGGCGGTGCTCGAGTACCAGCTGCTTGCTGATGTCGAGCAATTGTTCTTGCATTTGCGTCCTGTACGGACTGTCGAAATGATGGGGACTGTGCCGTGAAAACGGGCATCAAGTCCATCCATGCTGCCTTCAATCTCATGAGAAGGATTTCGAATTTTGTTTTAAAAATGAGGAACTCTTGGTTCTGCCTTCTATGATTGAAGAAACTGAGGGGCCTGTACAGATACACGTTGGTCGCACCTTTCAAAAAGTACTTCTTCAGCGTGTTCTTGAAGTAGTTGACTCCTTCATCAGGATCTTGCAAAAGGTCATTTTGGAGGACTGCCTTGTACATATAGGCATCTCCTGTGAGTCTGCTCTTGAGCAGAGGTCCTCTCTTGGGTGCTTCCACCGTAGTGATTGTCACCCAGTCGTCCACGGTGACTGAGCTGGGCTAAGCGGCCCCCTTGAAGCTCGAAACTGAAACCCGAAAAGCAGGTGAGACGTACAATGGCGGCTGCTTGGCATCGATAAATTGAGTGTTTCCTCCGTATAGCCTGTTGGTTTGGCCATACTTGAATAGGCTTCCATGAAGCCTTCTCCATCGGATGACATCTTCCCTTGGATCTCTGCGAAGGGAACTGGTACCCTGTCATAGTAGAGGTCGTTGATTTGGTCCTTGGATCTATTCCGGAGAGAGTCCAATATGCCAATATGGAGGATTGGAGGATGGATTGTTTCTGGTGGCTTGTGTTACTACGAATCCTGTAAAGCGGTCTGCAAGCCTTTTTATCAATGTACCATGAGTCGAATGACTGTACAAATGACTTGAAGCGCCTTGAGCCATCATGTCAGCGGAGTGTGTGAATAGGTCAATGTGCAACAAAAAGCAACACAGATAAGGGGGGAAACTGTAACTTGACACCTGGGCACGTCGCAAGGTACCTTTTTCTCACCCCCCCGCCCCCAAACAAAAATTGACGGACATGTTCAAGGATTTTCCTGGGAAGCTTGATAGGGTGGGTCGGGGGGGTGGGGGAGTCGCAAAATGTAAGCTGATGATGCTGGAGGGGCAGATGCGGCGCATGCGCAGAGCTTTTTTGAAGGCAAGTTCATGAAATTGTAACTTGGTTATGTGCGAGGTACCTTGCTGATAGGTCCACGAGCGTCCAAAATGTAATCTTACACTTGGCACGTCTCCTGAAGAAAATGTAATCTTACACTTTTAGTTGCCACACCCCGAAAAATGTCAATTACATTTTCAGACATCCCCCCGCTTAACTGGGTAGGGTAGTGTATATACATACATGCAGATTGGTGCTGGTTTGGTCCATTGTGTCTTTCTGCAGACTTTGCTCGTCTCGCCATTTCTTTCTTCTTTTTTTCCCCGCCATGCGGTTGTTTGTCTTTGCTCTTCTTTTCATGTGTCAAAGGGACAATTGGTCGCGTCAAATTTCAACAAATGGGTATGGGCCGGTATGGGTCAAAGTTAAAGCACCAGGAATTGGACCAGAGGTTAGGGTGCCATGCTGGGGTTACCCTGTTTTTGACCCTCTCGCCAAATGGCCGCGGCCAGCAATTGGCAGGCCTCTTGCACCGCGACAAACCCGGGAGAGGAGCTCTTCGCCGTGGGGTCCTGCAAGGAGTGCCGCGGACGGGGGAGCTATGTGTGCGTCTTTGTAGACCCCCCAAAACCCGTCGGTTTCCTTGCAGTTTCCCGTTTTACGAGAAAAAAGGAGGGCGACCCTCAAAATGTCAGGCACCCGTAGTTTTTTTGCGACTGGAGGGTCAACCTGCCAATGCTAAGTTTGGAATTTGCTGGAGCTGCGGGGCAGACATGCAAGTGCATAGGGTGTTTCGGGAGACATGGGAGTTGTGGCGGTCACCGTTTGTCTCCGGGTCCGTTCATGGCCTCCTGGCTTGGCGCTTGGGAAGCGTTGCCTCAGGGTTTTGCCATTTCGACCGAGGCTGGGCTCTTGGGATCCCGTCAAGGGCTTGCAGCTGGAGACGACCCCGGAGATTTTCCCCCGATGGCTCTCCGCGCAGGCGGGAGGAATGTGAGAACCCACAAAAGAGGCTTGCAGGTTTTGGAGGGTGGACCAGGATAGCTGCTTAGATGGCAACCTATCCTGCGTGGAAGGTTCCTTGTCTGAACGGACGGCCATTGATGTTGTGACACAGCCCAAATTGAGATTCGAACGTTGACGATTGGGATTCCACAGTTTCCATAGCGCCGAAGGAAGTGTGGGAGGCACCGTACAAAATGTCAGACCTGCCTCAGCAAGTGCCTGCTTTGTTGCCACCGTTCTGGGCTTTGCCTGAGGTCGAGGTCATTCCGGGCAAGGTCAGTTTTAAGCCGCTTGTTTGCAGCCTATGTCTTGCAGGGGGCGAAGTAGGGATAAGACTGGTCGTTAGGGGGCATGCCCAGAACTTTACGGTGGTTTCCATCGCTTGCCATGTGTTCCGACCAACTCAGCCCATGTTTTGAGGCTGGTCATCGTGGGGCCTGGTGGTGCCCGTTGGGAGGGCGGTGAGAACAGAACGATGCTCCTCGGCACTCCGATCCCAAAGGGATCCGAAATCTTGGGCTTGGTAATTGGTACGTCACTCGGAACAGTCTGGATGGCCCATATGGCAAACACAGGGCCTGTCTGTTCCAAGCGGCGGTGATCCAAGACTGCTGTTGAAGAAATGCAAGACCTGGGCATGGGGCTTGTTCAGCATGTTCTGCAGGAAATCTTGTTTTCTGTGATTAGCCATGGTTTAATCCATCACCAGGGATGTCGCGATAGTGACTGACCGGTGGTGTCTGGCTCAAGTTTGCGGGTCCGTCGCGCCTTGGATGAGCGTCGCCGGGTCCCCGCGTCGATCTTCGTGTCGGTGGAGAAAGAGACATCGGCCCGGGGCAGATTGGTGGGGTCCGCCCGTGCGGTTCATCGTCGATCAAGGTTGCGGGTACTTGTATTCTTGGTTGTTGTTCTCTGGTGTGTGGGAAACCCTGATCTTTGGGACCGGGGATTGGTTTGCTTTTGGGGAACCTTTCTTTTGTGGCTCGTTTACCCCCAACTAACCCCTTGCCTGGGCACAGGTTCGTGCCCGAATCACAGGTTATCAGCCGTAGGACTTTCCTACGCGCTTGAGACCATCAACTACGAGCTCAATGAGGTTGACCCCACGATCCCGTAGGAGTGTCGTGGATGAGGAGGCTATCCTAGGTGGTCTCCGTTCAGGTGAGCACACCCCGAAGCCGTGGCAGGTACACTCACGATGGAGACGACCGCATTTTCCGTCAGGCCACCGATGATGAGCAAGGACGAGGAGCTCGCCCTGATAGGGGCGGCTCCGAATCAGGTTTCGGACAAGGACATTTGGAATTCATCAGTATGGCGATGAACATTCCCCCCCTCATGCGGACGACCTGGAGGCCATGCCTAATCCAAAGCCTCTTTTTCCAGGTGAATTACAGGCTTCGGATGAGTTCGAGGACAGACCGCGAGGACCAGGAACCATGATTAAAATCTCGAAGATCTCAAAATCCAGGTCAGTTTGTTTGATGAGGACGAGGAGAGGGCATTCGCATGTATCGGATACGATGACCTGTTGTGCTCAACTGCAGGGTGGGGCGGTAGCGTGAAGCCTGAATCTGATACTGATAGGCCCAACCCAGCTTCAGCGACTCCTTTTGAGTTCGATAATGATGAAGATTATGCCGCATTTGCGGATGCTTGTGAGAAGGAAGAAAGTTTGTCAGATCGAAGTGCAAGGAGCCGTGATGCTGCGAGGGCCAGGAGCCTCACGTGAGGACAGGGACACCCGGAACGAAAGAGAGCGGATCCGGGAGAGTCGGGACACTCTTAGGGGTTTGGAGACCATCCATGACGGAAGAGGACCGATAGGTCCTCCCGTGATTGAACCCGTCCCAAATGTTCCCCCTTTTCCAAATATCACTTTTGGAGGACCGCTGCATCAAAGAGTCGAGGACATTAACCGGACTACTGGTTCGCCCAGGATTACTGAGCGGGCCGCCAACGTGGTTGAACCAGGTGCAAGGGATGGAAGACTTGCAGGTGCACTGGAGATCGAGGACCGTCCGCCGATCGCAAGCCCGTTAGGGCGAGACCTCAGCGACCTCGAGCCACTAAGGTCAAGTAATGAGTTTACTCCTCACTGGGGATCAGCCAGCAGGGAACGCAGTGTTTCTGCGAAGAGGCCGTCATCCTTAGCCGGAGGGACCGATAGGTCGAAGGCGAGGAGGGCTAGCCCGGAACCGATAGGTTCAACGCCCCGGGATGAGGACATGTTTGATCCAGCAGATGTTCATCCTGCTTCCGGCCCCAGAGAGCGCACCAGAGTTGAAAGGGTTCCTGACAGGATCGAGATATCGACCCCTCCGGCCCTCAGATATTATTCTTCTGGTGACTCCGGTGACGCTAGGAGTAAGGAAGTATTTGGTTTGCACATCCAGGAGATGTTCGAAAGAGGCGAAGTTTCTAGCTCTGTTGTGAACACTCTCAATGCTTTTGCTAATCAGATCAGGACGGTCAGGTGAATTCCATGCGCAGGGAGTGGCATGATGAGATGAAGGACAGGACTAGTCGCTTGGCCACCGAGGTTGAGACCAAAGCGGACGCTGATCGAATGCGGTTGATAGTTCAACGGTTTGCCGGTGAGATCGTTCCCGATAGTAGAACGACCGTTAGGCATGCAATCGATGAGCAGAGCGAAATTGTTAAAACCCTCCTGGCCCCGTGCCTAAATTGGGAAGCTGTTCAGTGTTGGTGTTGGTTACATTGTTCCATTGACTGCCGTTTGGCTCAAGTCACAAGTAGGGCTCAAGGTCTTGCATGAACTACGTTTGCACGTGATCGACCATAGAGAGTGGAAAATACTTCATTCGCGCTGCAGCTGCCAGGATCACCATCGTGGTTTTTGGTCCCTATCCCTTACAACAGTTTACACGGGTTCGGCTATAACGGTTTGACCGTATACACCTTTTCTACGTGGTTGGTTACACAGCTGGAGGGTTCGGTGGACAGCGTCCCACGGGACGTCACCTTGCCGTCTCTTGACAGGTTATCAGCCGTATCGACAAGCTCTACACTGGACGGAGAGACAGCTGGTTTATTGCGGGTACAGGAACTATAGAGGGACAATAACCTACACGGTACAATGGCATCTTCAGCGAGCCCAAGTACTGCAACTTTTGGGAACGACAGCTCAGAGGGATCCAATGGATTGATGGCTCTTCCTGCAGTAATGGATTTGGTCGCAGATTCACAGGATGAACGTGGGAGCGGAGGATCCGCACTATTCAGCGACATATCCACACCCACTAGGTCATGGAAACAGATCGCTATTCATCAGGAGAAGATCATCATCTTCGCCAGCGACTCCGCGGACGTCGCAGAAGGGCGTGAGGTCGACATCGAAAGGTGGGAGATCCAAATCACCCACGAGTGCCGAGTTTCGCGCCGCGATTAAAGAAAAGAATAAGATGGAGATGGAGATCGGGGAGTATCAGAAGACACTTGATGAAATGTCGGCAGCAATGGCAAATCTTCATCAAGAAGACTATGGGAGCACCATCCGGATCCAAGAGCTGGAGAGACGATGTGAGATTGCCAGCAAGCAATCGGGACATCTTGTGAGTCATCACCAACACCATATGGCGGAGGCCTGGCGCAAGTTTGAGGAGGAAGCCCAACAGATGCGCAAGGTGGAGATGAACGCATATCAATACGGGGAGAAGAAGGACATGGAGTCGAATGTTATGATGCAACAGATGAGACAAGCTGAGGGAACTATTGTGGAGCAGAAACGGGAGATTGCAGTGATGAGATCCTATATGGCAAGCGAGAAGTCGGCCGCACAGGAATCAGCTATACATGCAAATCAGATACACCGTGAGGCTTCACAACAGATATCAGTTTATCAGCAACAGATCAGAGGTATTGAGTCATCTACATCCATCGAGAAGTTCAACGAAGAGGAGATGGTTCGAAGTCTGAAATCACAGTTGGAACATGCACTCGTCAAACGCCCCGAGATGCACTCGATGGAGGACTCCAGGGAGCAGCTGATGACGAGACTGAATGACGTTACGACATTCGCAGAGCAAGAGTCGAAGAGAGCAGAATGCTTGCTTCGCGAGAAGGAAGAGATCATCAAACAGTATGAATCCGACGTGTCGAAGAAGGACCAGATGATTGCTATCGAGGGTGGTCATCGTCAAGATGTAATCTTGGAATTGGCCCAGGTCAGAGAAGCAAAACAAGAAAAACGGTGCACGAAAGAGGCCGAGTATTGGAGAATGACAGCTAAAGGGGTGTATGATGAGTACCTCGAGGAGATGCGCGAGCTTCAGGGACAACTGAAGGAGCGGGAGGCGACGCTCAAACAAGAAGAGAGCTTCGTTCGTCAGCTCGATGCGGATAATGAGGAACTCAGGGCACTCAAGAAGCTGGAGATACACGAAGCCTCGGGCAGTAAGGATGGACATCGTGAACGAGCAGTAGTGAAACGCGCTGAGGGAGGACCCCAAACTAATTCGACTAGGGAAGACAAGAAGGTGACTCGGTTATACCCGTCATCATCATCTAATCAGATCCCTAATTCGTCGCTAGTGCCAGGTTCGATTGTCTTTCCGTCTTTGGGTAATCCAATGATCGATGTACACCTATCACAGATGCAAGGAGTTGTTGGGCGTGTCCCACAATCCGCTACTACGACTGGTGGTGGTGGTAATGGAGGTGGAAACGACGGTGCTACACCCCCATTGGATTACGGTGGATTCTCGCCCAATGGAAATCGACAAGGGCTAGGTCGACGTCAATTGAGCCTAACAGGTGGTGGGGGAGGACCCCCAGATGATCCACCCGATGACGAGGACGAGGATGACGACGACGAAGAGGATGAAGAGGACGAGGAAGAAGAAGATGACAGTCGGACACGGAGGGGGCGCAGAAGATTGAGGGATGATCGCGAGATCAAGATCGAGAGACCGAGGATTTCAAGGAAAGAAGCTGAGAGGGTATCTATTCCCCCTTGGCCAAAGATCCATCAGCTCGACAACTGGAAAATGCAATTGCTGATGAATGTTCTAAGCGCATGCGCAGATCCAGATACCGACACATGGACGAAATGGTTGGAACAGGCTCTTGGGTTAAACCCAGACCTCAATTTGCTGAGCGACTCCGGCGGCGATAGATTCGCTACAATAGACATCAAAATGGCCATGGGAATGCAGAACATGCCAGACGAGGCCAAAGACGTGTACCTCGACGCTACGTGACATTCGGAACTACGACATCAACAAGGGGTGATCGTGAAGGGACGAGAGTTGGTGGCATTGGTCATGCAATCATTCAGGACGTCTGATCGAACAGACCTTGTCTACCACATCGAGCACTTATTTAACCTCGACTTCCCTGCAGACAAGAATTTGGTTGTATTCAGGAACAAGTGGTATGACTTATTGCTGAAGATGAGGAGCGAGGATAGACCCAGCATGCTGGCTCTCAGAGATATTCTATACAGGAAGATCAAA